CATATATAGCCTATGGTGTATTCAGTTTTCAAACACTTACTTTCAATCAGCTAGGACAGAACAACAGTATCTTTCTCACCGCTATAAATGAGCTGTTCTATGAATTTAGAAATACTTGTGTTACTGAGTGAAAGAAAGGCATCTTTATCCTAAGTAGCAGCTAAGGAGATTGGTAAAACTTAAAAAAAAAAAACCCAAACCAAAACCAAAACCCAGAACAAACAAACAAAAAAACCCCTAAAAATCCAACCCACCAGTACAAAGCAAATGCAGTCTAGGTCATTCCAACCGATCATAGGAATAACTAAAAAATATTTTTAATTGCAACTAACGTGCTATCTTGAGCCAGCTGCTTATTCTAACAGGCCTGAGGTTTTCTGCTCATAAAGCATTAATAATATGTGCCTTTTCCTAGAAAGGAAGGCTCTGCCTAAGTCTTACTGTGTCAGATAAAAAGTCCCAAAATAGACTTTCCAACCAAATAAAGTGTTTTATTCAGATATTCATTTGGATATGGCAGTGATGTTAAGAACAGCTATTCAAGTAGCTGAAGTAAGCCCTTCAAAAGAAGTCACACGGCTTTGAGACTTGAACAAATTATTGTATGATCTCATCCAAGAGATCTAAATAGCTGGAACATCTGCCAGAGTCGCCACCAATTTATTTAGCAGAGTTCATCAGTAGTTCATCAGCTCTGTTTGCACAAGCAGGTGCCAGGGCAGTCAATAAGGAGTCCTATGCAGGACTTAAAAAGAGGAGAGGGGGAGGAGAGTGGAACAGAGATGGGTGATTTTACTGTCTAACATGGATGTGCATTAGCAGGAATAAAGTCCCTGTCAAATTAGGGCAGTGACTATTACTGAAGGAGAAGTGCAGAAATCCTTTTTCCCAGAGAAGTATTACATGCACAAGTAACTATATTGTTAAAATTTTTTATTTGTGACAGTAAAGAAACCATTCAATACCTGATTGACAACACTTCTCTCTCCTGAAAACACTCATATGGTATCTGTAGTGTTTCTCAAGTATCGCTGGATTGTTCATTGCATTAAAGTGTAAACAGCTCCATTATTAGAAAAAAAAAAAAAGAAAAAAGAAAGAGACATTTCCATTGCTTACTCCTCTGTTAGGAAGTTCCCAATAGATCTTTAACAAGAAAGAAAAGAAGTCAGCTGTTTTTTTTACAATATAATGTGAAACAGAAAACTGACAGCTGGTTTTGCATAGTTAGCCCAGAGATTTTTAAGCAATTGCCCCACGCAAGTCTCACCTGCCCTCCTCGCCCCACAAAGGCAAAACATCACAGCACCTTGGAAATCAGAGGCACAAACTTGTTTTTGTTTTACAAATAGGGCTGTGCGGTACTGTGTTTTATTAGTTTAAAAAGAATCTGTAAAACATAGGATTATGTGTTTGTAAATTATATAGCTACAGATTTTTTTTTTTACACTGAAATTTCAAAAGCTGCAACATCAGTACACACCAGTGTCATTTAGATACTTTATTGTCCCCAACCAGTCTAATCAAAATCATGCTGTGATAAAGTGATTGCATACACTGATAACCAAATCTCTTCAGGTGTTGAGTTTCTTCCATGTATAACTTTGCTGTTTAGGAAAGATTAAAGGGCAAAACAAATAGACAAATTATTCTTCCAAAGCTACCTAAATGAACACAGCAATATTGTACATTTGCTACGATCTTCCATTCAAAACCTGCCACACTTCCTGGTGGTTAGCAAGTATTCTGCGCACAGCCCTAGTTTACAAATGGCAATTTAATCGTAACACTTCAGCTGAATTTCAAGAGTCTAAGGCATTCTGCCTTACAGCTTAATTTAAAAATACCTATACAGGCAAAAAACCTTTTTTAACCCGACATAAAAAGGACAACAGAACTTCAGGCCAGGCAGCATTTCTTTAGCTGAACAGAATGACCATCTGGAAAAGACTTTTTAATACTTCTAATAATATAATATAATATCCAGAAACAGAATTGAAAACCAGGGTTTATAACAGCCCTGGTGACCTGCATGCATTAACTGCATTTCAAAATATGCATGAGATTTAGGAAACAAGTATTTTTTCCTATTTTAATTTTTAAAATCTTGTATTTAAAATACAATCAAATACCCGTATTGCAAATTTTACAAACATTCCGTTCATTATCTGACTTTATGGACAGAACTATATTGCTTTGTTAAAATGTAGAAACTCTAAATATATAGCGTATATATATTCACGCAAACTTAACACCTGAAATTTCAAGTACGATGATAGTGTCAAAATAAACAACTATGACAGTTTGATCCCTTTGGCCAAATTTGAATATCCAAAGAAGTCCAAATCTGACTGCAAAGCACTCCAAGTTTTATTTCAACGGGAAGAAGTTTAAAAAAAAAAAAAAATTAGAAGTTATAGAAAATACTCTTAAGATACTAGCAGAGATCAAAATTGCTGCTAAGTTTTTTGCCTTTGTATTGTGACCATGTGTCATTTTAATGCTGTACTAAGTTAAAGTAAGCTTTGTGTTTTTTTTTTTTTTTTTTAAAATTTGTGTACTTCAAGAGCCAAAACAAACAATACAGAACAAGTATGGTTGTACAGAACATCATCAGAACCATTCTTCCAGAAGCTGGTGCAGAAGTTCAGTTGTCCATTATATGTGGATTTTAGAACAATACAAGACACTTTAATAATCAACATTCATTCACAGACTTAAGGCAACTGGTTCATGAAATCGCTGCTTTTATAAATGCAAATTAATGACATGGTTCGTCTCACTTACAACAGGTCACAACCGTTAAATGGTAATATCTCGGTGGGGTTATTTATTGTCTAATTGGAAGATTGTTTGGTCTAACGCTAGCGAGAAAGTCTTTGAATTTTTTCAGCCATTCCTATCATACCTGCACAACTAACTACAACCTGAATACTTCCCTGCAAACTGTATTTGAAGCCTAGAAGCTACAAACACAGTTGAAAATACTGCTCAGAGAACAACTTTTTGGCAGCTTACAGTTTCATTACTCTGAAGTCAAATACAAAATTAAACAATCTTAAACTGAAAGTAAACGTTAATGGACTAACCAGAATCCATACGTCCTTTTTTTTTTTTAATTTTTTTAAACAACGTAGGTTTTAAAATTTGACAGTTTTGTCTTTTGTTGTGGCACAGATTTATACAGTACTAAGGTAATGCCGACTGCTAAGAAAACAAAACGGTGATGCCGTACAGACTCACGAGTGTCATGGGACTGCCTCTAACATCCCTCGCTACGAGACACAGCTGGTGCACAGCTGCACTGCAAGGGGGCAAGTCATCTCTCAGTTTTATACTGCACCTACGACAAGTCTACTCACTGCCTGCGTAGGCTGGCCTGCCCTTCTATGAATGAATTTGTTAAGCTGCTTCACCAATGTTTTAGACAAGGATGACAATCCAAGTCCATCGCAAAAATTTTTTTCCAAGTCATCAAGACTTTTTGAGAAAAATAGAAAAGGCAAATGGGACCTACTATTCAGAATTTAGCACGAGGCTAATTAGAAGCACCAACTACTCCATTTAGTTTTCTCTGATGACAGCCATCATAGCTGTAATTTTTATGTTTGTAGATTTCTGGTGCGGAAAATAATTAAAAGGTGACACTGGAAAGGAGAGGAAGGAAAAAAAAAAAATAAAAGGTGTGCCTTGTTCTTCAAAGGCTTAAAATATATAAAAGTTATTCTTTTGAAAGGGTACCTATGACACTAGAGAAGACGCTAAGCAGATTCTCGGATTCAGAGATAGGAATTACTCAAGTCCAAAGCCAGAGGACCACTTTTAGTCTAGGCTAGTAACTTCTGCCCTTCCAGCAAGACTCGATAAAGCTCCCGATCTGTACCTTACACCTTGAGGAAGAAGAAATAAATCAGAGATGTGGGAAAAATACTTTTTGCATTTTTATATACCAAAAAAAGGAGAGGGCTTCATCCCAATTGAAAAAAAAAAACCCATATATAAAAAAAAAATCCTTTGCAGGTCACCTTTAGCTGAGTTCTCTGGTATATCAGATACCATAGGATTAATACATAGGGGTGGGTTATGAAGCCTGCATTTTATTTATTGCCCAAGTTTGCAGCTTACAGAAAATGTTTCATAGCACAGGCACAGTGGCAAAAACAGTATAACAGCCGATGGTCAACTCCATTTGGTGAGTATACAGTAGCAGCAATTAAAAGAAAAAAGTACTCCAAACAGCTCAATACAGATCCAGCTTACCCAGATGGGGTTTTTTAAGAAAAGAATCTTAAACTAATAAATAGACCTCCTCCCCATTCTCCCAAGATAATTGTTTTCCAAAAAACAAGAGGCATGGCAGTTGTGCGTAAGCAGAGACAATAGAACTTCATCTGTCTAGAAGAAAAGGTGCTTTAGATCTATTAGCCACCTTATTTTCTCAATTCCATCATTCCCTAATACTCAAACAACTGCAGATATGTTCAAAACTGTGCCCAAAATCATATCACTGAAACAACCATGTAATTAACCCAAATCACCCCTCCCCCAAATGCTTAAACCTTCTGAGCATGACAAAATGTAATACAACTTAATGTCATCGTGGAGACAGGAACCCAGCATCTTTGTTTCAACTTTTTCCTTTGTTATATATTACAGTGCTCTATAAAATTTTTCCTTTTTCCTTTTAAAGCATTTAGACAATACAAGACTAAAAGATGTCTGGAAATACGTCTTATACAAAAATGAATTTTTATCTTAAAATAACATTCAAAAAGGCACTTCATTCTGTAAGAAAAAATTCAGAGTCAGGTCAACTGCTCTAAGCAGGGGGGTAAAATTGTCTGCATAGTGGGAGGGGAAGAAAGGGAGAGAAATTCAACTGCTGAAATACAAGCTTCTTTTTTGGCATGTTTTAAGAAAAGCTGATCCAGTAAAAGATGTCCATTTATGAAATTCATTAAAAGAGTCCCATTTAAAATAGCTTCTTTTTTTTTTTTTTCCTTTAAAAAAGTAGTCTGAACACATGACCTTAGGAGTCAGGCTTCTGAAGGCTTAATAGCATCACTCATGATTGTCCTTCGTGTCCAATGTAACAGGAAGATCAAGAGTAGCACTTCTGACAGGGGTGACCTCCCCAAAGCTTACATTTGAAAGAGCTGAAAAAGATGGAGACAGCCTCTAGCAACTGCAATCTAGTAGCAGAAGTCAGTCAAAGTTAAGGGCTACCTGTTGCAGAGTTTATGAAGCATACTGTAAACTTCTTCCTCTTTGCTTAGTCCTTCAAAGAAAGGAATAAGATCTAGCAGCTCTGTGTCTGTCATGTCATCAAACCAGGACTGCACAGGCACCTGAAACAAAGCAACCAATAAATATTGAGATGACTTCATGTTGTGAAGAACATGTGAGTTTTGCCTATGTAGATGTCCTGTAATACTCACTGCCATCACAGTAAGGCAAATTGCTAGTCATTAGCGTTCAAGCAGAGTACCAGGTTCAAGTCCACATTTTCTAGTATGCAACATCAACCCCAAATCCAACTGTAAAACAGCTGACCTCCCAAATCCGACTGTAAAACAGTTGGCATGCAGCTGACCTTCTCCTACATGTCCAGGTAACCTACGTGACCCACCACTGGACAGCTCAATTTGCTCTACCTCCTTGATATTCAGAATAGATGGGAAGGAAGATACAGGTTATAAAGCTGTTCTGACGCTTTATTTACAGGCAAGTCTTTTTTTCCCCTCTATTATCAGTGTGAGTCACCAAACATAGGCATGCAGCAACAACCCCTTCTGGCATGAGGTTGCGGAGGAAATATTTAAACAGTGAGTACAGAACAGAACAGTTCTCCGATTAAAATATAAGAACTTGAGAGTAAGTTCAGAAAATAATGCATATAATAACACTTCTTAAATATGTGGGCTGGATTTGGGGAAGGAGTTCTGTGTATCTTCACTACGGAAGTATACTGAGGTCGTTTAAAGACTCTCTTGGATCTTGTTACAAGCTCTGGTTTCTGCAGAGGCTCGAATATCAGTTAGCTAACAGCACTTTTCTATACATGATTAAACTACTCTGACAAGGCCCTTAATTTCATCTCCCAAATTTCTACAGCTCATTATTTTCTTGGCACTGAATTCCGAAATACCAAATGACGATCTGGATCAGGTTTTTCATTTTAACCATGAACATAAATTAGAGCTACAGCTCCTGGTTATTATAAATAGCAGCTTTAAACCATGTGTGACACCAACCAGAAAAATGTTTTCACCCAATCATTTAGGGCATCACAGTATTAGGATCTGAATTTAAAAGCAGATTGCTTTTAAATAAATAAATAAATAAATAAATAGCTCACGTAAAAAAAATGCTATTCTGGAAAGGCAGGACCATGCAACACAGTGTTCCTGATGAAAATTTCCTACTTTAATTTTAACAGTTCACAAAAAAGGCAGCCTAAAAACATCAAAGAAAACATTGCACAGTCTGGTTGTTTAAAAGTCAGTAGATCTAAGGCGAGTTCCAACTTGCTATCCTGGCAGCTATAAAACCGATCTGAGCATCTGTACCGATTGCAGCAATGGATGGAGGAAGTGCCAGACCATTCCATCATAGCTCCTGGAGCCAATAGGAAACACACAGTGAAAATGCGCATTGCTCCCAATTATTCTTCCTTGAAGTACTGTTGCATGCCTTTTATCCTTATTCCTAAAACTTGATGAACTTCTTGACTAACATTTCTAATTATGAAGCGAGTTATCACAAAAATACTTAAAAGGAGAAGCATAACACAACAGGATCTTGGTTTTTTTCTTCCCCTTAGCCACGAATATCGAACTCAGATAGTAACCAGTAGAGCACTAATTATCTTGTCTAATAATGCATTTTCATTCACACAATGAAAAAAGATGGAGAACCGAAAGCAGTTCAGGTAGACAATCGTTTCTGTAATCACCACCCCAAAGAACAAAAAATATGCTGGAGGGCACGTTCGCTTTTTAGAGCTAGGTTAGTTATTCAGGTTCTAGACTGCTTGGTATTTCTCAAAACTGGTGGACTTCATGCCAAAAGCTAAAACTGAAAGCAGATGAACAGTCATGACTATGACACACTGTCAAATCAGTTTGCTGTAGCCTTTCACCATTTGGCACTGAATACTAAAACCTACCTGCAGTCTAAGAAAATACAGAAACTAATACAAATTAGCGTTCTGAAAGGCTATTTTCTGAATCAAAGTCTGGGCAAGGACCAGAAGGATAAAGTTACACTTCAAATACTAAGAATACTTACTGCATTTTCAGGATGGAAGATGTAAGATGCAGGAGAATTATCTACTATAATAACTTTACTCAGCTCACGTCCCAGTCGACTAAGATCCTTCACGTAATTTCCTCGGTGGAAAACACAGGATTCTCTAAAGAGCCTTGCCCTGAACACACCCCAGCGATCCAGTAAGTCAGCTACTGGGTCTGCATACTTAAAAAGAGAAGTTAGAAACATGACTTTAGCAATGTGCAGATAAGGCTAATTCACAGAACTATACAAAAAAGGGACACAAAATAATTTCAGATAAAATGCCCTTCCTTCATCTTCTTCCCTGCTCCTTGTTAATTAACTTACATGCCTGCAAACCTGAAGTGATTAATAGAGAGATAACGCAAAAGTAGGACGGTTATCTTTCTGTGGAAGGCTAACTTGTACTCTAATGTTTTCTGTGATTTATCAATCAGGTTTTATTCTTAGGGCCAACTTACAGTTACCCTAGGAGTTACCTTGAAGCTGATGGATCCAGAGATCTCACCTAACATTACCATAAAACCAGCCAATACTAACAGAAAATCTATATGAAGCCATTTCCAAAGCCGATTCACTTCCATGTGCCTCTGAAGATAAACTGCAATGAATGCATCTGAGCTTGATGTAGCTTTTTCAAATGATGCCTTGGAGCAACTAGGTCAGTAAGAATCTTAAGATCACCAAATTGCATAATTGGGCCATAAAAGATCAGACAAAGATGTCATTACGAAAAATACCCATCTACAATACTGGGAAATTCTCATTTTATATATAAGGTGATACATTAAGTGAGGCACAGCTTAGAATCCAACAATTTATATAAACTGTCCAAGGAAAAGTAAATAAACCAGAACATGAAATAACCATGTACTTGAAAATGATAGTTATAACAAATTTTTGCAGGATAGGAGTTACCATTTTCCTATATTTTAAACTGAGATGTTGAGATGATTTCAACTGATGTTGGAATCAATCATCTTTTGACTATGAAAACTGCCAGACATATAACTGCAGTATGAAATTGTTCCATTATTTAGGATTTTCACAATGTAACTGAACAGAACATGGTAAACAGAGCGCAGGGAAGAATCCTCTGATAAGAGGGCACTATGGCAGATCAAACAGGGTCCTGTCCCCTTCCCTCATCTCTACACTAGGTTGGAGTAAAAGCTTACTACGCTAGAGTATTAGAAATAATCCATATAATTTTACAAACAGGACACCACAAATACAATACATTGAAAGAAGCGAAGAATTTAACATGTCTACTACTGTAATGTCTACCACAAAACTACCTACGAGGTACTACTGCTACTGGAGACCAGAGGGCACAAAATACTCCTGTTGATGTTTCAAGCTTTACAAAATGTCTAATTTTCTAACTCCAGATTGCAACTGCACCTTGAGAGAACAAAAACGCGTTCCCAGTTTTCAGATGCAGTAAATTTCTGATTCACTGGTTGATCATGTAGATAGCATTAAATACAGTGTATTTTATTTCATGCCCAGCTTTAATATACTGCTTTACTCGCACGCTATTTGTTCTAATTTCTCACTATAACCATGGTAACTTGTAAGCCTCTCATATTGGCATTATGAGCAATGCATGGAGGCTACATTATGAGACAAGCCCATATGTGATGGTGTTACCATGGAAACACTTACCCACACACTAGCAGACAAAGTACACACTGTCAGACAAAGAAGCAGAAAAGAAGGGGAAAAATTAAGATAGTACCAACTGTGGAAATAATTATCCATAGAAAACCCAACCAAAAGTCCACTGACCAGCACTGTAAGGGCTAATGAGATGAAGAGAGGGACAAACCTTGGCTAGACTGGCTGTGAAGAGTACACATTCAAAGAGCTCTCCCATCCTCTGAAGAAACTCATCCACATGTGGTCGCTTCAATACATAAACCTGGAATGACAATGACTATTTAGGTCAAATGGTGTTCAAGGCAAAAGGAAAGGGGAAAAAAACCCCACTCAAACATTCCTGTAATCCTAACACTTGAAGAAACAAAAGTTAACATGGAAGCAGTTCAAATGAAATGCTGAAAGAAAAAAAAAAAACAGAAGTATACAACATAAAAGTAGACATCCAATAATGAGAAATTTGAATGCATGGGCTGCCAAGACCCATGCTGATTATGCAATTGCAAATACTGTGCATCATCTGGAGTGATGCTTCTTGAAAAATCTCATTAAAGGCAAAGAGAGACAGTAAGGCTTCTCAAGAAGCGAGGATTCAGATCTATCAACCGAAACGATTTTGGTGCTGGTGTCTTCAGTCCTGAAGAGCTTTACAGAAGGAATAAATCTGATGAAACCTCTTACGATGTCAGGAATTGCACAATAGGGAACTATTTTCTTCCTGTGGCTAATTCTTTCATTTTTTAAATTCCAGGCGCTAAGTACCATCTCTCACTACGGATAGTTATCAGTCATCCAGCTCTGCAGGGAGCTTTCACCAAAATTCTTCATAGCACCATGCAGAATGTCTAGCAAATGCTGCTTTCAAATTCCAGTGGCAAAGTCTACAGCATCTTCTACTGTGACCTTGCCATAAAGATGGTAAATACTCAGGATTTCTCTCCTGTTGAGCAGCTTGGTTTCAGCAACGCTATATTGCCTTTTTGCACTGACAAACATATAGGCAGCTTGGCTACCTACTGTCAACAACATGATTAATAAATATTAAAGCCTCCTTGCCTCTCATTTCAGGGCAAGCAAGATGATTTGCGTTCACAGAAAATACCAAGATAAGATAACTGCTGCTCAGAAAGCTTACAACTAGCTCACAGTATAATCGGAAGCTGAACAGAGGAGTCTGCTTGAAATTTATCTATCTTGTTTGCACTTAGATTAAAAGTTTGAGAGAAAACATTGGCAGCATTTTATCTTCTTCGTTTGGCAAATAATTCTTAATACTGAAAATTTCAAGTGGAGAAGTCTGGCATATAACTGAATTCAGGAAGAATTGCAAGACTGATGCAATTTCAGGAATTTATTTCTTTGATATGTAGAGCTAGATTAATTGTACGTATTTTACTAGATTAATATTAATAAAGAGGTAAAAAACATAAGGCACCCAGAGAAAAAGCCTGAAGGAGAAAAATATGGAAATGCCAGCTTGAACTGAAGTGTAACAATTAAAGCCTTTAGCAAAAGAAGAAAAAAGTTGCGTAATAGGGACTTGAAATTGAAAACCTAAAACTGAAAGCAAAGTTTTATTAAAAACATATATGATGGAGCTGTACCTTAATGACCAAAGCAGAAATGTTAATTACTTTTCCACTTTACTTTAGCTCATAGCATGAAGACTTGATCTGCTTTAAGTTATTTCTATGAAGTTTAACTAAACTATTTCTGGTCCCTCAAATTCAAACAATACATTCAAACTTTGATACAGGTAACAATTTATAACCCAGATTTTTTTTTTTTTTTAAACAACCACAGCAGAACTTAACCAATAAATTAAATAAATGTGTCATTTTCTGAATTAAAGACAGTTAACAGATGTACTTCAACACCGCTCTCTTTCCAGATAATTACAGCAAAGTTTCCTGTATTTCACTAGGCATAAACCAAGTAATTTCCTCTCCTATAACAATGCAATTAATTCTTCACTTAAAACTTACTACACGAACTTGTTCTGTAGTATTTCCTTTCCAAATTATATCTTCAAATTTTTAAAAGACACAGGTAGAAAGACAGCCGCAATCCCTCTGTGTTTGGGTGCCCAGAAAGAGACTATCCGACTTGCCAGTTATAAGAGGAAAGATAGCAAGATGCAGGTTACTCCTTAACTCCACAGTTCGTAAGAAGCTCTTAATTCTTTAGCCTTAAACTATATTCCTACACTTATTTTTGAGGGCATAAAAGGGACACCCCAAAGTCTTAAAGTCATTCTTGGATAATTAGTGCTGGAATCTAGTATAGTTTCCCTTTTAAAACCTAGTGTTTTCAGCCACAGCAAAAGAAGTCTCCTCTTCGCTCTCCATCCCTATCTATGCCTCTGTCAGTGAAGTATTTCCACTTGGAATGTAATTACAAACTCCAAGCCAAGGATATGAACTTTGCTGCTTGCAACATAACCCACCTCCTCCATAAAGACAGCATACACTAAATCAACCCAATAGCTACAGACCGAGAGCTCCTTAACCACAGGCTTGTGGACAGGAGTGGGCTTATAAAAGCAAGTATTTGCAATATGCGCTCTTTTGGCAATTTGTAGGTCTCCTAATACGGCAACTAGTCAGTATTAGCTGTATTGCCTCCATCCTGCAGTTTAGATCTCCTGATCCACCACAGAGCACCCTCAACCTCCTCTACTTGAGTTTCTCTTGCTGTTTTGCCTTAAATCTTACCTGTTGAGCTCTGGCCAACAGATTCGCTCCTCATTTTAAATCCTTATTAATAATAAATGCAATCTCTTAGGATGAGGTCTCACCAAATTTTTCTCTTAATTCTCTCCTTCTCTAAAAAGCCCCAACTCCTTCACCCCCTTTTTCATTTTTTTAAACACCACTTTTTTTTGCAGAACAACATATATTAATACTCTGGATGGTTATTCATCATGAAGTTTTTTTGAGAAGTCCTACTTAGATCTTGGAAGCAACTGCAAGCGTACTGGTATCCTGGGCTACAAAATCTCTTTGGTTTACTTGACATAAAAAGCTTTCTTCAGCTGACAGTGCAGCTCTTTTCTCCTCTTCCTCCTCATTTGGAATTTTTTCCCCTTTACTTTGTTAGTGGCTGGACTTGCATCTCAATGCCGCATGGTTATTTGTGGCTTGGCTTTTTCCCCCGTTGCCTGATGTCTTCAGTTTAAGTCTCTAGACTAACTGGCTCCTGGCATTTTTCTGAGATTTATATACTGTCTTCAGGGCATTAAAAAAACCCCAAAACCCTCCAGTTTTTCCTGTGTTGTATGCTCACAAATTTCTTCCTTATCACAGTAAGAATTTAGAGGAATACACTCTTATTTTTTATTTAAAATGAACCTTATTCTTAAAATGTTAAGGCACAAATCAGGCTCTAGGCATGTTTTCACAGGATTCTGTACTTACAGCTGCTAATGGCAGAACACAAGTAATTACCTTTAATTGTTTTCAAGCATTTGGTATTTCCACATACATCTTCTATACCTCAAAGCAGTCTTACCCTAAAAAGACTCAGTATTTGTAAACCAAAAGAGAAACCCAGCTCAATTTTCATCAATTAAATGGGACACAAAGAATTGCCTTTCAAAACCAGCTTTACAGTAACGAAATCTTCAAGTAATGACAGAGAAATCTGCCCATGACAACTCAAGCTCCTGTAATCTCCTGTTTCATGGGCTGGGTGCACCTTCTTTACAGCGAGCAGAAAATAACACGCGTCCTTGAGCCTTGTCTTTCTGGTTCACGCAGTTGTGGTTGTCTCCCAGTGCAAGTAACCAAGAATAGGCCAGCTAGAACGGATACAGCCTATCCTGGATTACTTGAACCAGGCCACAGCCGTCTGTAAGGGAATTAAGGAATTTTGTCCTTCATAGAAAGAAAGTTTATTATTCAAACAGTGTTTTCCCCCACCAATAAAAAACATTTTGCACATTACAAAGTATAATGCCAAGTATTTCTTTAGCTTTCAGCAACTAAAAATAAGCAATTGCTAATTGAATATTAAAAAACCCTTAAAACCTAGTTTTACTCACTTAATAAACAAATTACATTCAAGAACGAAATTCCAAGTAACATCAAATCAAACTCTTCCTGGCTGCCCTCTTTACTCTTTGACACCGCTAGCAAGGCACAAAGGCATTGCAAGTCAGTTTGGATAAAAGACAAAGGACCATCGTATCCTAAAAATCTTTACCCATTGGGGATTAAAGCTATATTTAATGTACAGTTTCTAATCTGGGGGTTGTGATCGCTCTGCACTTGTTAAATGGGAAGCACGCTCCGAAAGAGAGGACGTATTCTTGCAGAAGTTACGTCAAGGGTACCGAACAGGTTGAACATCTTTCTCCAGCCACTAGTTTCATCCTCAATAAACTTCCTCTAAAGAGCACTCTCAGTTGCAACACATTTCACTGGACTTCCCACAGTTTCTCACTTATAATTTGGTAGAGCAGGGGACCAGCTCTAATTTCCTTTTATTCAGAAAACCAGAGAGAAATGTCAGAATAATGTCAGCTTGCATTAGAACTGCCCTTTTGTATCTGTGCCATCATTTCCAACACAAAGCCTGGGATTCATCTCCTGTAACTTTAGCTGCCCGGTGGACGGGCACAGTCTCTGCAGGCATCCAAAGAGCCGTAACAGAAGGAAGGAGAGGGACCTCCACACGAGTTACTTCCTTGTAAAATAAAATGAAAAATCCTTTCTAAAGACAAGGTAAATTAGGCTAGAGAAAGAAAAATGGCAGAGGGACAAGGGGTGTTCAGAAAACTATTTTTTAATCTAGGGAAGCTGGTTTACCCAAGCACCCTTTAAGAAGATGATCTGAATTGTCCTCCCTACAGAAGAACAAGAGTCTCTCTGACCTTTGGATTATAAATGACATAGGGAAAAATAAACTCCTCAAACTAAAGACAGCCTTTTCTGAATACCCCCGTTGCACAACAAAAAATTACAACATTTACCATGAACAAAACTTGTTAGATAAGTCAGTCTCAAAACTCTTTCAAGTGTACAGCAATTGAATTTGCCACAGCTTGTATTTTTGGTAGATGAGATCTGAAGAATCTCGTATAATTTCAAATTTCTTTCTGAATGGGCAGTTCTGAAATGGTGTTCTCCATTTGTTTCCCATGGGGTTCTGTCTAAGGCAGAGTTCAAGTACAACAAAACTCTGTCAGACAATGTCCTGCTTGGTAAGATACCAGGCTTACTGGTAAAGCAGGTAGGGATATGCACTACGGACAGTATGGTTCCACATTTCACATATCCCATGATATCTTAAACAGGTGGAAGTATCTCCCAATGCAATGACTAAGCTTTGAGTATGTAAACTCCTTAAGAAAATGGACAAGCATCATACAGATGACAAATTCTGATGGATAACAAAAATTGTTGGTATCTGTTCAGTTTATGCTCTAAGTAAATAAAGAAATTTAAGGTTTGAAGTGGCAACCAGTTGTCAAAGCTCTACAGCCTGTGTTAACGCTCATCAGGCTAAGCCAGAAAGGCCACTTTCACCCTTCAGATTATCACAGTTAAATAAAAAAGATTGCTGGATGATAGTACGTTACTTTGCCTACAGAGGTATTACAAACACAGGAACCCAAGACTTTGCCCGTTCTGCATACCGTATAAATTACCTTTACTTCAAGGATCACAAATTCCTTACAATTCACTTCACTTCACCTACCCATCTGCAACTGAGATTTTTACCTATTTTAGAGATTAAGAACTTGAAATACAGAGGGATTAAGCAATTTCCTTGAAAATTAGGCAGGAAGTCTCCAGCAAAGCACAGTCGGAGACTAACTTCACTTGACCTTCTCTGTCAAGAGCAGTCTTCCTCCTGTTCATGTTTAGGGTATGGACAAATTGGTTGGCTGTTTTTGGTTTTGGTTCCCCCCGCCCCCCCGCATGCAGTCATCTTGAGTGCTTAACTGCATTACATTTGGTGAAGAATCTGAAAGTTTGCAGTGGGGAACGGAAAAGCAACAGGCTTTTGAAGTGCTTCACTGTAAAGCCCAAATAGTCCTTTATTGGGTTTTGTTTCAAAATGTAAATGTATGTTCTTGACAAGCTAAGTGATCACAATCCTAAGCCATTCAAAATTGTTAGGCAACCTATTTTATTCCCTTTCAAAAGCATTCTAGAAAGTTTTAGGACACAAAATGTCTGCATTACAGCACCAAACACGATTAAAGCCCACATCAAATGAGGACAGACAATATCACAACATAAATCTCCCAAAACATCACTTACGTATTTTAAGCATTCAGCTCTGGTGAACATTACAGGTTTAAGTACCCTAGATATTGAATTTTTCTACATAAAACAGGCACAGTGTAAAAACTGTCAAAGCAACTATCACTTTAAAACACATTTCAGTCCACTGACTGATATTTAGGAGTGACAATTACATGGATGATTTTCATAACAGGAAATCAAACAAAACTATGAACTAACTCTATGATCTATCAATTGTTCCAATATCAAAATACAAACATATTAAAATAATACATATAAAAGACAACATTTCAAAAATTAAAGTATTTAAAATCTCCAGGGAAGATTTGCAACTCAGTAACTGCATTATCTTTAACCTACAATAACCAACAGAGGATGTTTCAAACAATTTTCAAGATTCATATATCAGAAAGGCTCAGCTTCACATTAACCAGAAAACCCGCTCCAGCAAGAACTTTAATGTCTGTCTGAAGAGGAAAATTTATGGCACTGTAATTTATTTCATTCAACGTTTTCAGAAATGACTACTGATTAAAGACAGCAAGCTAAGATATACATGAAGAGGACGGATTTTCAAACTATGGGTGTTTTGCATTTACTGAAAACCATTTCAGAGTGTCTTAAGTGAAGTTCTTAAAGAATAAGACATAAAAATCAGTCTCCCTTCAATTTTGTCCAGACCTTTTAAAGATGCTGAAGTGTATAGAAAGTCCTATCAGAGGAACTTAAATTACTTACAGGAAGAAAAGGGAACAGAACTTAAATATAGATTGCCACAAAAACTGAAGAAATGTCTGTTCTTCCTTAATACTTTTATAAAGCTTTGTCTACCAACAGACATTAAAGCCAACTTATGTCCTGTTTGTCTGTGGAGGGAATGAGAAATGCAGCATTCAAGTAGTTTTTTCCGGGCCTAGCAATGTTCAAAAACCCATCCTTAGATCATTTCCTGTTTGAAAATGTTTTAAAATTGACAAAGAGTCAAGTACCGAAGTCCTGAAAGAGGTATTTTGAAGAACTGAAAAATTTAAAATTGAGACTTAGTAGTTAGAAATTACACACCTGCCTGGATGATACATTCCAGAATACACAGCTTTTGTATTTTGCAAAAGGACAAGTTACTGAATGTAAAGCAGCAAATGGAGAAAGATAACGCTCTGGGACACTGAGGACAGTTCCGCTACTAGAACAATGCTAAAGGAACAACACCACTTACCTGATGTATGGTTCCATCGATTTCAACAGGAACGATGAAATCAGCATTGCTAATTGGCTAGAAAGAATGACAAGGAAATAAATCAACATTAAAAATAAGATCAGTAGAGGGAAAATTTCAGAGGCGTAAGAGAGAAGAGTACTTACTTCTCAGGAACAAGTTAACAAGCATTATTGACTATACGGATCCACTCTGTGTGTGCACCTTTTACACACACAAGTCAGAAGCCTTACACAGCTGTATTCACCAGACACTGGACTTCCCTCTCCTCTTGTATTTTTAAGCTTCATACAATGTAATATGTTTTACTGCTTGAATAACCCCCACTACCGCTGAGCATGTTTACTAGGATAAGTATCTATTTGGATAACTGTTTCATCAAGTCTGTGGGGATGATGACAAAGAAATTCAGCTATGTGCTTCACATATTCTACTCTGGGTCATCAATTAGTAATTAATTAAAAATAAGGACAGTGGTAAAAGTAATACCTAGCGGTTATATTTGAATCAGGAGCTGCAACAAGACTTAAGTCATATAGTTAAATGATTCTCAAGATGTGATACCTCAAGAACATGCTATACCCATCAAATTAATCATGTAAACTGCATTTTAATTCAAAAGGGAAGAGCAGGCACATTCTGTCCAGGTCTTTGAATCCATTTTTCTAGCCTGTTGAATAAAACTTATTTCTTACGACTTACTGTGAAAAACTGTTGGTCAAGTAAAATTACTTTGGAAAGCAGGAAAATGTCCTTGTAGAGAGTTTAAAAGTACATAGTCTAATCTTGGCTAGATAGTAGTGGTAATTGGGGGACGCACAGCTAAGAATGTTTACTAGTTCAAATGGACACAAAACTTGGCAGAATCCTTCGGTATGGCTCATGCATTATGTCTGTGATTAAAAAAAAAAAAAAAAAGTCATGTAAACATGCCTGGCTGAAGTTTGCAACTCACTCCATGATCTGCAGCTTGGAAATGGCTGAGATACACAGCTGCCAAATACAGTTTTAACAGGACTGATTAACAGACAATATGCTTCATGGATAACAGCCTAAAATGAAGGCTGGGAGTAGTCTAGCTGGTAACTGGTATGGCATTACTAAGGCTGAAAAACATCTTCACTCTGCTCTATCAGACTTGCACAGACTTTCCCCTCTGGTTTTCTGGATCAGCCAATAGACTGATCTTAAGTACCACCAAGGAGCACGTCCCTGAAGAATCTGCGAGACTAGAAATAGCCTTCAAACCCATTCAGGGGGGCGAGGGGATGTCAAGAAAGCAGAGAAACAGCCAAGGTAAAGAGACTGAGAAGCAGATCACAAACTGGTGAGTCTAAACAGGTGCTCTGTGAAAAATGGTAGGAAAAAAGAATCCTGCTGTATTAACCTGATAGCATCACTTTGATCCCATTCCCTGGAAAAACAAGATTCTAATTCCACTGTTAAATGACCTTCCTGCGAGGGGAGCAAAACAACCATAAGAATTTATACGGAGGGCAACACCTTCTTTCAGTAGTGAAGTAATAAGGAAGATGTTTTGATCCGACATCTGCAAGTGCTGCGTCAGAGGGCAAATGAGAAGCTACACTGAATCTACTTGTCCTGACCAACCAGTATTGGCAACCAAACCTCTAGAGCAGCTGATGCTGGAAAACCCCATTCTGTTGATGACTGCTGCGCTAGTATGACCTAAAGAATTCCTCAAATACCCGCACATACAATCTAGATTTTTCTCTAGCTGACATCAAGCAATTTCCAAGATATACCTCCCTTTTTCCAAGATATACCTCCCTTTCTGCCTCTGAAAAAAGACAGAGGGGAGGCTCCCATCTGCTACCTTCATGAAGCCCCTCAGACAGAGAAGATACTCTGCAGCATCTCTAATAGCCAGAGAAGAGGCAATCAAAAACGTTCTGAAGCTTCACCTTAAAAGAAACCCAAATGAACCATCAATAATACTCAGCCACCGAAGTTTTCAAGTGGGTGCCAGCTCTGTGCATACTTTGAAAAGACTTGCACTCACTTGAAGAATTTATATATGCATGACGCCCTTAAGCAAGATAAATATTCTGTACCAGCAGAAAAAGAATAGGTCACTGCAAGTTGCAAAGGTTTTGAAGCCCACTGATAAAAATACAGCTATTACTAACTTTCTTAACAATAGCAACAGGAACCAGATGTCAGAGAAAGCCACATTCTGTTTAGACAACCTAATTTTTGCTAACAAATAAAACTCACCCTTGGACTTTGTAACACTAACCAAACTACTCTTAACTACATATTTGCTTCCCTCACTTATGCTTTAGGTACTATGCAGCTTTCTTGTTGGCACAAGCGATAAGGAAGAGAGTTCTGTGCTTCATCGTGATGGGAAGACAGAAGAAAAGTCTGCAACAGTTTGCTGGATAAAGGTTTCTGGGGTTGCACACGTGAAGCACGTACATGCCTCCAGTGGGAACCTCAGAGCGTGAAAGAAGACAATGTATTTCCATTGAAAATCTTTACTTTACTTAGAACTGTTTCTATTTAATAAAAAGCTTCAGAGTTTTAAATGTTCTAAAAGTGTTCCACAGCCAGTTTTGAATATGACTACATTCCAGACTTGCATGTGGTTTAATTCATTTTATACAAAACCATGTTTACATCTCCTTGATTTAATAATTTACGATTCTTGCTGCTATTATTGTTTTATGATGGGAATGATAACTATAATGTCTATCTATTCCTTTTTTACTCTTGCCAAAGCACCCCAAACTTTATTCCTTTAATATGCACTTAACATGAAAGAGTAGTACCTCCTTAAAGCTTCACAAATATGCAGGGGCATAAAAAGACAAGAATTACCCTCCTTCAGATGTTGCTGCTTTCATAAAAGAGTACTTTAAATACTCTGCCTCTCTGGTTGTCTTAAAAAAAATTATCTGCATTTGAAATATGAAGCCTATTTCATAGCAGAATTATGAATTCTAAAATATCATGTGTTTTAAATGAAGCCTTTTGTACTAAAAATCACAAATTCATGTATGCTTTTACAGCTTTTAAGTGGGGACCTGCCTGGGTAGAGCAGACATGTTTTAGTAGGGGGTGGGGGGGAACCAACTAAAAGAAACTGCAAAAATAACTTGATTACTCAGGCAGAGCAGTGTGCAAGTGTGCATACAGGTGCTAAAACCCCTATTGTTCTGGAAGTCCATCGTTATTTTTGATGACCACAATGGCCTTACTTCAGCTGAAGTATCTCCCTTTATAAAACAAAACCCAAACAGCACTGCTGGACAGTGCCAGCCACTAAACAACTAAAGCCATTTCCTCCAACACTTGGTTTTCTCTTACATACTCCCATCACAGGGCTTCACCTTAAGACAATGCCATCGTAACCGTGAGACTCTAATACTGCAGAAATGCCAACATTTGCCTAACACTATTTACTTCACACAAAAAAGGACCAGTTTTCTTTTCCTAACACAAAATATTATTCAGTGTTCAAGACTAAGTAGAATAAACTTTTGATTTTTCTTAAATATCTATTTAAATTAATTTAAAAACCCATTAAATACCATTTGAATAAATGGGATGATTAAAATGAGCCCACTACGAAAGCACTCTGCAATAAAGGCAAACCTCAATCCTACAAGAAAGGATTTACACTTTCAACCATTAAACATGTATTTCTTTAAAATGGTTTAAAAAAATTAATAACCACCTAAATTGAATCTTATTTTGTTTCAAAAACCAGAAAAATCACAGTACAAAGTTACCCACACCATTCAGAAAACAAACTTTTATTTTTACATGTCAGATAACACTAAGCCTCATACTTCATTGTTTTCATGTAAATTTAGACTTTTAAATTCAGCTTTCCCTTCCTATTTTTGACTCTCGTTTAATTAGGAAGGCATGGTCCCTCCCTTCCCAATCCAGCTGTGTTTCTAATCTCCCTGAAAAATTCTCAAGTGCAGGCTCAGTCTAGATATAGAAGACAAGGATCTGCCACTGAGGTTAAGAGGTTCCTGTATGCCACCACAAATTGTTATATACTATTAGGCACAATAAAGACAGAAAAGAATCTTAGTTTCAGTTTGAGACACAGGAATATTTGTTCTAGTATCTCCATATAAGTTCTTCTTTAAGTCAACAACAGGCTGTTGCCAAATTCTAACCACAACATGAATTATGGTTTGCATATTTAAATGCTGGCAATTAAATACTGCAGGATTAAAATGTTGAGTTTATGCTAGCAGTGAAAAATGGAGTGCAACCAAAACTAGAAGACTATAAAGTTGGTGGTAACTCTAGCTCGCTACTAAAAAGGAAACATACTATTGATTCTTAAAAATTCTCCAATATCAAATTATAAAACTAGCACATGCTTTATCATGTCTGACATTTGCTGATCAGAAATACTACCAGTACTCTGGGCCAATTTAGGTTATTTTTATTTCTGAATTCTCCTATTCTAACTTTAGCCCTATTTAAACAATAGAAAAATACCACTACTTCCACCATATACTGAAATCTGAAGGGTTATAAAAGTTGCTTCTACAAGATGACCGACTCATCAGCAACAGCTAAATGCTATTTGCTTTCCTGTTGTGAAAGCTAAATACTGAAAAACACTTACTGCGATTGGGACAGCAGCCGACACGGAAAGCAATCTTCTCCAGCAACAAAGCACAGCAATCACTGGTGCCCAAAATCTACTGGTTTAAGATACATCTACCTAGCATAAAGCTGTGCTGAATTTCCATTCTCCTAGAATAACTATGGCATCATTTCAACATCAAAAACAAAACCGTATTTTCAGAGCAACAAGTTTTGTACCTGTTATAATACAGGTCCTGGTTGGAATAGTTACCATTTAAAGCCATAAAGACAATAACCATTCAAGGCCTTGTTGCAGTCGGTGTGACTTTCTCGGAATCAAAAAACATAGCAATGTCTGTGCTACCTCTTACAGCTAAATTAGGATGAATAATCATAGAAGTAACAATGAGAACTACCAGGCATCCTGGGAGAGCCTGTAAGACTAGTTAATGTGTTGAGAGGCTTAACAGTTCCTACAACATTCACTGACAGATTCAAGTTGCGAGAAATCGCTTTTGAATTTACTTACCTTAAATGAACTGTGCACTAAAGTTTCATCTAAATCAATGACCACACACTTCTTCCCATAGTCTGATGCTGTCAGTTCTGGCAGGAGGTATTTAGCTGGTGGCTAAAAACAAAAAGAAAAGAGGAAGACAACAACAACAAAAAAAGTAAAACCTCTATTGAAGGGGCACTCTTCTGCCAACATTACTATTCTAGTAGTTACTGGGAACTGAAATACAGGACTCAAAATTGAATGTTTTTCTGGGCTCATTGCAGGTACATGTATGGAAATGAATGGCTCATGCAATATCCATACAGACTTCTTTTTTTTTTTTTTTTTTTTTTAAAAAGAGAGACTTGTTTAGAATGATCTCCAAAGCATTGGAAATGAAAATGGTAAACCACCACCACTAGCTAAAAAATAACAGTAAAAAAATGGGACATTTGATAAAATATCTTTTCCAGTGACACTCTTCCTAATGCCTTGGTTTTGGATGCTGCTGTTACCCTATTCACAGTCAACACCATTTCCAGCCACATCACACTGATGGACATTTACACAAATAGTTATTTCTGTTTGCCATGAAAGATGCTGAAGTGGAGAAATCAATCCTGAAGGAAGACAGCATTACTAATTTTATCTTCCAGGACATGTCTCCACTCTCATTTTTACCACTTGCAAGGGTGCTGACCAAGAGCTTTCGTGTGGATTACATTCCCAATCAAGGTATTAAAATTGCAGTAAAGAACCTAAACCAGGCTCTTCTACAGTACGCTGCCCTTACTTAAAAAATGGTACCAATTACATGAATTGACAATTTTTCTGAAAGCAATGCAGACATCACACAGTCATTCCCCACTTTAACATCCCAACTTGGATTACAGTTATGTTAGTTTAGACTTCGGTAGTGGATACTTCCTGAAATAACAGAAATGGGAGAGAACGCTTCCATTTGGAGCTGAAACACTGCTGCCACTCATTTAAAGAGGCTTTTTTTGATGAAGAAAAAGGACTAGCGTTATAGAAAAGTATCAATAGGGAGAAGCTCAAGACAGAGAAGAAATTAATTAAGAACTGGATACAGAACTCTAACTTCATTCTTTTGCTATCTTTTTATCTGTTCAGACAATGTTGCTCTGGTAAGGATGCATCTATCATGTTTTTGTTCTTTTCAATAGCCTTTTGTAGAGGTGCTTGCAGGGATCTGAGGCCACCCCTTTGCAGACAGCGGGTACAAACAGATGAGTACAAACCCTCTGAACACCCTACAGCAGCAAATTCAGATTATTAACGACCGATTGATTTCAGATGTTGTCTTAAGTTGATAGATACTGGCCAATCATGCTTAGTAAGTTCTTGTTTAAATGAAGTAACTGACAATGAGATTCTGGACTTATAAAAGTGTCTTTAGCTAAAGTATAAGTTATTGGGGGATTTTTAGGAGTGCTCACTGAAATTGATTTAGTTTCTTACAATTAACATCAACCACAGTTTCTTCAGCTACCAGAATGGAAGCTGCCTTGCTTACAAGCCACTTGTCTCAATGCATTTTCTCTCAGCACACATCTAACAATGACCTTCAAGAAAAAATAACCGCTGCTTAATGCCTGTAAAGTATGTGTCCATCACAGTAACCTAACCAGACTGAAATTTATAGGACACACTTTCTAGGTTATAGACAGCCCCATGCATACGTTACTTCCACAAATGCTTGAGCTCTACCTTTGCTTGTTTGCAGCTAGGACCAAATCTAAGGAATTTAGGTTTTCCCCTCCTATTTCAAAATCTAAAAGATATTTAGGCACCCCACCTCAATTTTTCATAGTAAGAAGGATCCAGACTTGCAACTTAAATAGACTAAAAGCTTATTGAAAGAAAAATCAAACCCATTTAAAGACAATAATCTTCAGAAGCCATGTTCTATTCTGATACTGATTTCTTGTCTTTGAAGAAGAGAAAAAGGTAGGAACATCCCAAGAAACCTTCAGCATACTTTTTTTTTTAACAGAATAGTTCAGTTAATTTTTGTACTCTTAAGCCTGTTAGTATTTAGTTCAAATTTTTGACTAAGTTAATCTGCACAAGCAAAGCCAGCAATTTCTTCTGCTGTGTGAATTCTTTTTCAAACTGAAAATACCTATATATATGGAAATAGATCTTCTTTAGTATAAAAATATGTAGATGAAAAATATGAGCATTGTCATATCAATGTTGTATCTTTGGTTTTTATATGGAAACTACTACACCTGTCATCAGGAAAAGGATGGACATACACCAAGGACTACAAAATGCAAGAACCTTCAACTCTGAGCACCCAAATTCCTTGACTACACAGTGAGACGCAGCCTGTAACCATCCTCTTCATCCACCTGCAGCTCTGCTTTCTCAAAAGCAGCGGCTGGGAGAGGAACAAGCTTTCCTGTGATATCTGCACAGAGATGCTGGTTACTGCTAGAGTTTCTCTTCCTTTTCAGTATTGCCTTAGGAGGTAATGTGTAATTATTGACGTAACAAAACTACACCTCAAAGTTTTTCCTGGGGAAAGTCTCCCACTAGGGCTCACCAACCTTTATATAAGCTTTGGCTTCTTGAATTCAATCTGATCCTGTTTTCAAAGACACCTGGTCAACAGTTCGCCCATTTGAAGATCAGAAGAAATAAATTTTCTGTTTCAGAACTTGTATCTCTGTTGCTCTCAACTTTGAAAACATATTTGCCACCTGATAATCTAACAGGGACAAGGAAACTATTCTGAAGGCGAAGGCACTACAAGTTGCGAGACTGCTGAACATCTAGTGTAGGACTCTGGAGCAAGGATGACATTTTTGAGGCTTTAGGAACTTAAAGGGATTTGTACATAGGATATCAGCCCATTTGTTTTGCCGTTCAAGCTTTCTGATCTAAAGCAATTTCCACATTGCCAAGAGTAGCAAAGCTTTTAGGCAGAAACAAGCATTACTCAATATTGTAGTTTAATTTCCTCACTAATGGAGACATATCCAAGAAGAGTTGTTATTACCAGATTTCCATCATAGTTAATAGCAAATAGTTATGGATCTTTGATAATTTCTTTTTTTAAACATAGTAGCTTTAAAGATATCCAAGATGATTAAGAGTGTTCAATTGTGGCTAACAGCAACTCATATTTACTATGCAATACTCTCTGAAAGACTGCAGACTTCCACAGAACTCGGCAGAAAAATAACATGCGGTATCTCAGTACTGAAACTCCTAGCTTGGTCTTCGATTCCAACAAGACATACATTGTACACAAGTTAGAGCTTTAAAACTAGTCACTGTTTGGGATTTATGCATCCCAGCCAGGTCTCATGGCTGATCAGCTTAACAGACCTTGTAGTGAAACGACTGCTGCACTGCTTCAGTCCCGTGGAAATAGTATATTCCCTAAGAAAAAAAAAAAAGGGGGGGGGGGGGTGGTGGCAAGAAAAGAGAACTTTTGGTTGAAGCATAAACAGCTGGTCAACACAAACCTTTCAGAAATTTACTGTATAAAACAATCATAACCTTTCTTCCCTGTAGGCCCATACTTCTCACAGAGACAAGTATCAGAATTAAGCCCTTCCTTTGTATACTGGAAATGTTCTCTAGCGTAAGTGCAGCACATTAATTTGCTGTTCAAGTTTCCTTCAATTCACACTTTTGGTTGCACTCCACATAGCTAACAGCTTCTCCCAGCAGTTACGCATAGAAATACTCTCATAGAAGATAAATTATTCCCACTTAAACAGCTGCCAAAAGACACCAGCTCCTAGGCAGTTCACAAAATTTCTTCTAGAAAAAGTTGTAACAAGAAATTGTCCAAATGTAGGTGAGGACAAGTGAAAAACCAATATCCCAATGCTAAGATTTAATTTCTGCAGGGATTCGAGGACGACTTTTGTTACCACGCCTTAATATTGGGATTTTAAATTGAACAAAAGAAATCGATGCTCCAACTCATTTTAAGCAGGTGCATGAGTATGGCTTTGCATTTCCATCTACCTTTTCATTCAAAAGAATGAAAACAAGTGCTGAAGTTGCTATGGGTCTACTTTGATTTCTCTACCATATTCCTTTCCAAACAAAGCTGAGAAAAATCCATGAAAGCGTCATGAGGCGTCCCGAGCTACACTTAAAATATTTTTAAGTCAGGTCTATCACAAAGCATCAGCTGGTACTGTTTTTTCTAATTTTGTGTGTGTTTATTTCAGCCCTAAAAATAAATCACTTTGCAGTATTAGGAAAAAATCAATTATGCTGCTGCTTCATCTATGCCTTATCTGGAAACAGTTTCAGAATATGAGGTACAAACAGGATAAAGTTCATCTTTAAAAAAACAAAGTCGCACTGTTTCTATTTTCTGAGGAACCTAACTTGAAGCTGGAATGTTCCTTGCTTAGCAGTTACCTCTATCAACAACCAAGTGAAAATTCATATTAATTCATGTTTTTAAATTAAGTGCAATTAATACCGGAAAAATCTGATTCAGCAGACAATACACTTCACTGATATTGCACATATGTACATAAAGCAATGGAAGTTTTCAAACAGGTGACCTCAGCAGACTGCCAGATTTTATACATGTGTGATAAAGCTCCAGAAAACCTGATTATTTTGATTGGAGGCTTCAACTTGAAAGTTTAATGAGGATGGAGCGGGCAGTGCTCTTTTCAGAGTCACTAAGGAACTCTCTAAACACTTGAAGTGATTACATTTGCAGTGGGCGCTATAAAAAGTAAATGTCCAACTTAATTGTGACCAAGCTCACTTTGTGTCTGTTTAGAAGATTTTTCTCCTGGTATGTACAATACATACAGTTCCAACAGTCTATTTCTCATCCGTGACCCTATGTAGCAGAGCATCAAGAACTTCTGCCTTAATGGCTCTTAATCACATGGCTAAGAGTTGTCTCAGAGTGAGCCTCTGGGCTTCAGTGCTCAGGACAAACAGCCCTTGTAAGACTGGCAAAAAGGACAGCTTTAATTTTAGGCATTTTTCAAATATAATGTTGGCATTGCATCTTTGTTCCTACCACTTTCTCCACATGCAATTCACTTCTGTCTTTATTTAGACTATTATGTACTAATGCTTGCTGGCTTCTGTTTGACAGCGAGAAGCACTCTGATACTCGGAGAGTAAATGTCACACAACTGCCTGCAGGCGACGGTTGCTTGACAACACTTGCACGTCCTGCTGGAAGAAGGCATCAGATGGCATCGGAGAAGAGGAAGGACTGTGTCTGAAGTCCCGTGCTCACTGAGAATTCTACGTCATGACTGCAAAGTTAACTTTCCTGCCTTACTAAAGTGCTGGGAATATAGGTCAGCAAAATTACAGTTGTTTTGGGGGGGGGGGAATAAAAAAAAAAACCCGTCTTGAATCATTCATTTTCCTACCACTACCCAAGTCTAACAGAGCACTGCTTTAACATCAGAAAGATGGTGTTCTAGCAAAGCACCTCATTTCGTGTTTGTACCTGACAAAGCTGTACTCATTTGTCATTTCAAAATTTTGTTCTGTTTGAATTCTTATTTCATTAATACCTACACTCACTCTTAGGCAAAATTTTATTCCAGGTCAGAGCACAGCCAGAACATGTTCTATGTTCAAATAACTACTAGTAGAGCAACTACAGTCACCAAACAGAATCTGGCAGGTACGTAAAAGGAAAAGTAATTTAGAAATCAGTATTTTTGTACATCCAAAGTTTTCTATTCCCAGATCTGCATATATACAAATTACATGCATGTACACGTCTGTGTATACATACATACACACATGCATGCAAACATACGCATGAGGCATATTAGAAGTAATTTCGTATTAGAAATAACAGATAAGCAATAAAGAGTAATTTCTAACAGTTCTTAAATCCAAGAAAAAGTGGTGAAGGAGGGCAGTGATCGGCACAGTTACAGCGATCACCTGACACTATTGCACTGCAGCACGGACAGGGGTCTTATAGGAGGTCTTATAATGTTGGGCTACAT